CCTCTGCCCAGCCTGGAGCTCCATGGGGTTTTTGTGACTCAAGGACAAGATCTGGCCTGGTTGACTCTCACCCACTTGGCCTCATCCCATGGATCCAGCCTGCAAAAGGTGTCAGTGTCACATCCATTCCACTTCCAGCAATCCCAAACTTTAAATCCATGTGGCTGGAGCTCATCTTCAGTTCCAAATATTTTGTTTCCACATCCTAGCTCTGTGATACCTCTGCCACAATGGCTCAGCTCTGTTCTTGAATGAAAACAGATCTTTGGAGACAGATATTTCAATCTGCAGAAGCCAGCAGGATGAGGAGGGGCTTTGTGTGTTGTGTGCCTAAACCAGCAGGATATTCCTCACACAGTCACCCAACTACTCCTGGGTTCCTTCTGGCTGCAGACCTAGAGGGGATCCTGAAAACCGTGAACAGTTTGGATCACCTGGGAATGAAAGAAGTGAGGGACAAGATGCCAGAGCAAAGCAGAGAGCAATCCAAACCAATAGGAAAGGAATGATCTTCAATTGGAATGATTTAGTCCTGAATTGTGCCTTAGGCATCACTACAGGGACTGGATGAGCAGGAATACACAGATGTGAGCCAGGGAACAACTGCTCCCTTCAGCAGGAGCCCAGGGCTGTGGGAGCACTCCCAGTTTGATGCCAGCTTGTATTGGTTTGGCATGGCCTGGTTTTAGGTAGCAGGGGGCACAAAGATGGTTCCTGTGAGAAGGTGCTGGAAGCTTCTGCCAAGTCCAGCAGAGCCAGTCTCAGGTGGCTCTGAAGATGGACACGCTGCTGGCCAAGGCTGGGCCAAGGAGAGAGGCTGGTAATGCCTCTGAGGTAACATATTTAAGAAGAAAATCAAAACAAAGTGTGGCATGCACAGTTTTTTCCTAGCCAGAGAAGAGGAGGAAGTGAGAACATGTGAGGGAAACAATGTGGAGTCAACAGGGTGAGTGGAGAAGGAGGGGCAGGAGGGGCTTCAGGTGCCAGAGCTGAAATTCCTCTGCAGGTTGTGGTGACCACCATGGTGAAGCAGCTGAGCCCTGCAGCTC